TCAATTTGGTGGGTGTTTGGATGTGCAATTCGATATGAACATTAAGGATCATAATCACCACCATTGAAACACATCCTTTGCGTATCAGTGTATGTGTTATTATTCTCACAAGGGTTTTGATCCAAATGTAAATCTTTGTGCTTGATTACTTCAATTTGAATTGTGTATATATCCAAACATAGATTTTGCAAATTCAACAGTTGATATGATGATGATCTAATTAGGGATTTGGTCCATACACATATACCAGGTTTTGAGTGATCCACAAAAGAGAGCAGTTTATGATCAGTATGGTGAAGAGGGTTTGAAGGGGCAGATGCCACCTCCCGGAGCTGGTGGCTTTGGGTTTTCCGGCATGCCCCATGATGGTGGCTCAACCACATTCAGGTTTAATCCCCGAAATGCAGACGATATCTTCTCAGAGTTTTTTGGGTTCTCAAGTCCATTTGGAGGATCACATTCACATTCACATTCAGGGAGCCAGTTTCAAAGAAGTATGTTTGGAGATGACATTTTTTCTCAATTCAGAGGCGCTTCTGGTGTTGGTGAAGGATCTTCAGCAAATATGCCACCTAGGAAAGGAGCCATGATTGAACGCGTGTTGCCATGTAGCTTGGAGGATTTGTTTAAAGGAACTACAAAGAAGATGAAGATTTCAAGAGATGTTTCTGATGGATCCGGGTATGTTCATTTGTAATTCATTTTCTTAACTTCTTTAGGGTTTATACGAGAATCATAAATATTGATTTAAAAAAAACAAAATCAATGATTCTGATTGATTCGACCTTCCTAAATTAAAGGGTTTAATTATGGATACGAATCGATTCTCTTTGAATGTAGGAGATCGAGTACAGTAGAAGAAATCCTGGCAATTGAAATAAAACCGGGTTGGAAAAAGGGAACAAAAATCACGTTCCCTGAAAAAGGAAACGAACAAAGAGGTGTAATTCCTTCAGATCTTGTGTTCATCATTGATGAAAAACCACACCCTGTTTTCAAACGCGATGGGAATGATCTTGTGTGCACCCAAAAAATATCATTAGCAGAAGCCCTAACAGGTTACACTGCACAAATCTCAACCCTTGATGGACGAAATCTAACGGTTCCCATCAATGCTGTAATTACTCCTACTTATGAGGAAGTTGTTAAAGGTGAAGGTATGCCTATTCCCAAACAACCAACCAAAAAAGGGAATTTGAGGATCAATTTTGATATAAAGTTCCCTACTCGATTGACATCCGATCAAAAATCGGGTATCAAGAGGTTGTTGACGTCTTCTTGAAGTTTGAGCTTTTCTCTTTCTATATTCAGATACAGATACAGATACACCTGTCTGTTTCATTTCATGTCTGTTTCATTTCATGTTGGCTGTCAGATCCGTTGGTGGAGTTTTTTTTTGTTTTAGTTTGTTTGTATTAGATATTTATTTTCTCAAAGGGATATTGTGATTTGTGATGATCTAGATTTTGTTTTGGTTTGTGATTTTTGTGTAATTTGGTTAACTTTTTGTGTGAATTGATAATTTGAGGGGATGTCTTCACACACACACACACACAACATGAGAAAGATATTTATGTCTTTTTGTGCGTATGCATGCATGTTTTGTCTTTTTTTAGGTCTCGATTTTAGTCGGGTGTATATTTTTTTTCAAACATTTGTGTTAAGGATTGGTATTGCATACTTGATTATTGGTTTAAGAGGCTTGGTTTGTGATGTATTTAGATAAGAAACAATGATTAAATATGTTTATGTTGTAAGGTTATATCAACATGAGTAAAATTAAATGTGAATGAAATAACAATAGATTTGCACTTAAGAAGTGTTTATAGCAATCTATATTTACTATTATTATATACTTATGCAAAACAAGAATATATTTTCTCAAGAATTTATTGATAGTTTGCGAAACATGTCTTACAAGCTTTCCTTTATGTTATTTTATATGTTTGTCAATAATATGATGATATACACTGCAAAAATGTTCAAATGACTACTATTTTACTTGTGTAAGTATTTCGCGAATGTTTAGATATTTCACTGCAAAAATCTTCAGATGAATGTTTTGGTAGCAATGGGATGATTGAATAAATTAGTACTTGAGTGAATTGAGGAAGATAAAGTAGAAAATGGAGGTACTTCTAGTGAAAGGTTTGCTTATTTATTGATCATGAGGAGTATGATAAGGTAAAACCATTAAGGAAGTTTGTTGATCATTTTCTAAGTCTATTCGGCAATACAGAGTGATCATGCAGAATTTCCTGAAGTATTTCCCATACAATTTTTTTTTTCTTTCCGAATTTGACTCTTAGCAACATCTATTCGAAGCAAGATGTTTTCTAATTAGGTCACGAATTACAAATGCCTGGAAAAGTTTTATTGCTATTTCGCGAGACAATTCACATTAATGTTATTTCTACAAATGATCAAGATGACAATAATAAATTAGATGATCGCACCACATACATATATCACTATGTTTCCTTTTCATGTTCCAAATTAAAAAAAAATGAGATATGGTAGTAATATCCATCCTTGGTATTAGGTCCTGTAATCTTAAAGAACTTAAGCGACTTTTAAATGGGTAATAAACTATGATATAAAAATAAAATAAAATAAAACAAGGTTGTTAGCCAGAAGTTGTAAAAATGACAAAAAAAACGTTGTGTCCTTTTAGATTATGGGCTATCTGGATGAGTAAGAAAAATCATTCGAGATTAAGTTCTTAATTGATAAACATAATTATGCTAAAACCTTCAAGTTTGGAGGTTATTAGTGAAATATTCATTGATGGGAAACACATTTTATAAACAAGAAAACCCCAAAATGAGTTAAAAATGAAGTTGCCAAAACATTCAACCTCAATGTTAGTGTTGACCGATGTGGGAATGCAAAGAAATATTGATTGAATTAGATTGAAACGGTTTGATGACACAATATGAAAAATTAAAGAGTTATGATGCGGAAATATTAAGGTATAATCTAGGATCAACAATTTCGATAGATGTATATATAATGTTTGATTCCACAATTTATTTTACAATGATGTATGCTTGTCTAAAAGGTGTAAAGGATGACTAGCTTGAAGGGTGCATAAGTGTTTTATGTATAGATGCTTGTTTTTTTGAAGACAAAAATGCAACAATGGTCTATGTCGTATGTATTTTTTTGTGGTTTTGGTCCAAACTTCAATTTTTTTTTTGGATTTGTAGTCCTTTTGAGTTAGTTTCATTGTGTATTTGGTCCCTTCAAAAATTGAAATGACTGTTATGTCCTTTGTGTATTGATTTTCTATTTTCTTTCATTTTAACAAAAAGAATTTAATACTTATTTAATAATTTTTATAATTAAATCTCTCTCTCTCTCTCTCTCTCTCTCTCTCTCTCTCTCTCTCGGGATGAAGCATCAAACAGAAAAAAACCTAGATCTTCACTGTTTCTCCTATAATTTTCTCTCGTGCTAGATTCAAACACGCAAATCGACATTAGTATCCCCTGAAGAACTTTCCCCCTTCTTCCTTTCTTTACCCTGAAGCTTTTCTACCTCCCTGTTCACCCTCGATGAACAAAATGGGTGTCACCACATGATTTTCGTGAAGCTTGGGCGCAAATTACCTGCTTCTTCACCACCGACATTGTTTATTGCTTGTCAGAATATGCCTTATGTATATCCGATTTTGAATCAATGAAGTGGCTAATGATTCTAGATTCATAGAGACGTGATATATCGAGTGTTCTGGGTTTTTAGATTGTTGATTTCCTAATGCAGATTCTTCATCAGTGAAGTGTGATTTCCAAATCATTTGTTTATGGCCGATTTCCAAACATGGGTAAATTGGTTGTTTCCTAATCTAGGTTTAAGAATTATTTCATGAACAAAATCACACATGATTGATCCATATAACAAAAACACACATAACTAATGAAGAATACGCATTCCAGATCGATGGTAGATGGAGATCGAGAGTTCCAATTTTGTTTCGATGGATAAAGGAGATGTGGGGTTCCAGATCTGCATCCTCTGTTATGTTCTTGCAAAAAAATGTTAACAACCTCCAGGAACTCAAAAGACCATCTCCTTTTTGAAACCGATCAGGGGGAAGAGAACAAGAATGATAAACAATGACTATAGTCGTTGAAAGTGGGTAACAAAAAAAAAACATGACAAAACTGCAAATTCGGTCCTTGTGGTTTGTCAAACCTTTGGATGGGGTCCAAAAAGTTTCTAGCTTGCACCAAAGGTCCAAAATCAAGGTTTTCATGGGTTTTTAGTCCATTCCGTCATTGTCCGTTTGTTTGGAGCCGCTAGTGCCATCACGTGCCCTCCATGTGAGGGCATTTTGGTCATTTTAGGTCCTAGCCTTCGTTGCTGCCACTTCAATTAATAAGATTGCAGATTGTACTCACTCCTTCGTCTTCTACTCATACCTCTTTGGATTCAAACGCAAAAACCATAACGATCGTCTGCAAATTGGCTTGTGTTCATGCTTTTGAAAATGTGGGGACTTAGAAATGTTGGAGAGATTGTCAACGTTCAAGAAGTTTATGGTAAGATTCAAACTTTGAAAAAACTCTGTATTTTATGATCAAGCTTCAAACTTTGAAAAACTCTAACAATCGTCTCTTTCTGTTTTGAAGATGGTTACCCCAACATATTCTCTATTGAACTTCATCACGGAGGGAGTTTCACAAAGTTTCCAAATATGAGGTATTAGGTACTTTGATGTTGTCGACATTGATGAATTTTCTGTTCATAAACTAGACTTGATGATGAGAGAATTAGGGTATGATGGTACTGAAATCATGTATTACCATTTCCGTTTGCCTAATTAAGGATTTGACTTTGGACTCCGAGCATTAGGTAATGATGATGATGTGCGTAATCTCTCACAATATGTTACCCATAATAACAAAATGATTAAAGTGTACACAGAGCATGGTCAAACGAACTTGCTTACATATTTTATGTCCCCAACTGGTCCAAGAAGGGTTATAATAGAAGACATGGATAATCAGGGTCCTCTTAGACCATCATCACCTGTAGTTGCTCATGAAGTGGTAACTCCAATCCAAATTGATGTTGGTGAGGGTGATTTAGGGTTAGCATTAACCTTATATAAATCAGCAACACCTGAATTTAGTAGGTCTAAAGGTTGGAAACATAGTAAAGGGGCATCGTCTTGTAGTAGAAATCTTAACTTGGATTGGGAAGGTGGTGAAAAAACAATGGCAAGTGGTGAAGTTGATAAAGGTAAGGGTGTAGAAGGATTTGCAGATGAATTTGTTGTAGTTGATGCAGAAAAAGAGTTAAACAAACAGATTGATATGAATGAAGAACTTGACATGAACAAATCCAATGGTGAGTGTAACACCCAAAGTTTCAAAAGCCATGAAAGGAAAGAAAAGCCCTAATTAAAGGGCCGACTCGGCGAGTCCAAGGAGGGACTCAGCGAGTCCGAGCGGGATCCGGGTCGAGGTGTAAGCGACCGACTCGGCGAGTCGGTCAAGGTGACTCGGCGAGTCTGGTCTGTGTGTGGAAAACCCTAAATTCGGGACTTGGGGCCTATATAAATGTCTTAATCTTCTTCCTAGGGTTCCTTACTGCCTCTTTAGCCCTGGATATCAAACCCTAGCCGTCATATCTCCTAGTTGAGCCTTGGAAGGTGCATTTAAGCTTGGAAAAGGAAGAAGGAACTTGGAGGAGCAAGAAGGAGCTATAGATCTGGGATTGTGAGTTCATTCTGAGCACTTGGAGGTAATAAACTAGTTCCTGGACTCTTTTTGCACCTAGATCTATGTGTGGTTGTTGGGGCTCTTTTGCCATAATGTTATTATTTTGGGTTAGAAGCCGGATCTGGAGTTGCTACTTCAGATTCAAGTGTTTTAGGGCCTGGAGGAGCATAAAGTATCAGCCATTGAGTCGATTTTGAAGTCCCTTGGCCTTACACCCTAGTTAATGGCGTATCTTGCCTAGATCTCCTTCTCTACACGTAAAGTTTGCAACTTTATGTGTGGAATAGGCTTGGGAAGGGTGGATCTATAGTTTGGAGTCCATGCATGACTCAAAAATCCTCTGCATGTAAGGAGATCTGAAGGGACTCGACGAGTCCTTTGAGTGGACTCGGCGAGTAGCATGAAGTTTTGGAGAAACTCGACGAGTGGGATGAACAACTCGTCGAGTCGTATGAAGATTGCCTTGGACTCGGCGAGTCTGTTCTTGGACTCGGCGAGTCAGGTCGCAAAACCCCAAACCCTTCGAGTTGTGACTCGAATCAGTGAGTCGGGTGGAGACTCAGTGAGTTGAACAGGTCTGGACTCAGAAATCGGTAGACTCGGCGAGTCATGGACTGACTCGGCGAGTCGAGTCGCGAATGAAAGGAATCTAATCATTTTGAACTCGGCGAGTCAGTAGGGTGACTCGGCGAGTAGGGTTGACCTGGAAGGTTGACTTTGACCAGGACTTTGACTTTGGACCAGGGTGGACTTGATTGTCTTTCGGGGGTCAGTTAGACTCAGTGTTGCATTGATATTGGTAGTTCGGGGAGCAAGGGGAGCAGGAGTTCCGTGAGTTGTCGGGAAGCAGCTAGTGAGATCATCAGCAAGTTCAGCCAGTTCAGGTGAGTTTCCCTTTGTGTGAATGGGTCTAAGGCCACAATGCCGGCCCATGTAGTTATGAGTAGAAGACCTGGGGGTTAGCCCTAGGCACAGTATGCTAGCATTGTTTGCAGTACGAGGTCCAGTAATAGCGGGCGGGCGCCCAAGGAATTGTTTATATATGATAGTTTATACTTGTTGTCTGTGTGATACATGTATGTACCTGGTAGGGAGGTGAGTGTGGGCGAGGTCCCGTATCTCACCAATAGCAGAGTGTGGATGGGGTTCCATATCTCACTAGTAGCAGATTAGGGGCGAGGCCCGAATTAGAACAGGAGTGAGAGTGGGCTAGGCCCGTACCTCACTACCATTAGGAGCATGGATGGGGTTCCATGACTCCTCAGTAGCAGGACATGGGCGAGGCCCAGGAAAGGCGAGGCCTTAGGACAGAACCAGTTGCATGTGTTAGTTATGTGTTATGAATGTTTATGTGTTATTATTTGTTGACGGGCGAGGCCCTGTGACAGGCGAGGCCTAAGTAAAACAGATCTGTATCCGAGCGGGGCTCGAAGCCAGGCGGGGCCTGGAGCGGCGGGGCCGTTGTAGCGGGCGAGGCCCGTGGTAAGGGGCGAGGCCCAAGATAGGGGGCGTGGCCCAGTATGTGCAGTATGTGGTTATGCATGGTATGTGGTAGGGTGGGGAACTCACTAAGCTTCGTGCTTACGGTTTTCAGTTTTGGTTTCAGGTACTTCCGGTAGCGGAGGGAAGAGCTCGGGGTGATCGCATGGCACACACCATAGATTAGACAGCCTGGGGATGTTTACTCTGATAACGAACATATGTTTTGAAAACTTATACTCATATTATGTTTTGGAATGATGATGTTACTTTAAGTAATGATTTATTAAAGAAATTTTTGGTCTTAAATTTTGGGTCGTTACAAGTTGGTATCAGAGCCTTGGTTTGAGGGATTCGGGCATACTCTCGGGTGTGCCTGAACTCAAACTGAGGGGTCGGATAAAAAGTTTTCAAAAGCGAAAAGATAGTTTTGTAAAGAGAGTTCTGAGAAAGAAAACGGCTTTATAAAAGTAAAAAGAATTCAGAAAGAAAAGAACTTGAAAAGAGAAAAGAGGTGTGGTGCATGCAATCAACCGAGCTCAAGTAAGTACCCCAAAATACCCATACAAGTTTATATTTTGATTATCAGTTAATAGAGCAGCATGCTAGATTAGGACTAAGGATCTAGGGAGGATGCCTTATGTGCCTGTTATATGTGCTTTTGATCTGCATGATAGTGCCGAATAGTCAGTAGTAGGATAGCCTGATTAGGTTATGCCTGAGTTATGAGTTGTGTTGCATGCTAGTTCAGATTCTTGCTATGTGGATATGATTGCTTGAGTATGTCATGGTTAGATTTTCCCTTGTCTGAATGCTGCTTGCTTTGTGCACTGTGGGATTCTAAGTGATGGGAGTTAGCCATTAGGTGGATACGTCACGTCACATGTGATCAGGGTTGAATAATCTCAGAGTGTTGGATTTGGTCCTATTGCGCAGCTCTTGTTTGAGTCCAACCGTTGTAGGAACGAGTCTTTTACTTGAAGGATTATCTGAGCCTCGTCACATGTGATGGTATCCAGGTGATGGCTAATTGGCATTGCGAGGAGGCCTTCAGCAGCTGAGGACTGGTTGAGTTGAGTCAAAGGTTTCCCTAGGGTAAGCCTAGGATGAGGTAGTGCTGGGAGCAGTAGTAGTAGAAAAAGGGACCTGGTGGAGTCAAAGCAGTTCCTGAGGAAAGTACGGATAGATGTGGAAGGTAGTATGGGCCCGTACTACTGAAAGCAGAGGATCCGTACTCGATTCAGGGAAGGCCGAGACAAGACCGGGAACCTGGTAGTGAGTATGTTTGGTCTCGCAGCAGTGAGGAGTATTCTGATAGTGGTTATGTTGTATGTTTCAGTATGGTGACATTGCAAGAGGGACCAGCGGGCGGATCAGGCGCCGGAGAGGGATTAGGCTCGGGTTTAGGGGCCGAGCAGCTCGAGGAGCGGATGAGGGAGTTGATATCAGAGGAGGTTACGCGCAGTATTCTAGCTCAGACTCCTGTGATCTTTGGCACGGTCAAGGAGGGTATATTGGAGATTTTGGATGAGAGGCTGGGAGCCTTCCGTACTGAGATGATGGCTTTGTTGGGAGCGCGTACCTTGACATTTCGGGAGTTCAGGGCCTGCGGGGCACCAGATTATCATGGGGCTAGGGACCCCATCGCTAGCAGCAGGTGGTTGGCTGATGTTGCCAACGCATTCCGTACGAGCCGGTGTCCTGAGGAGGACAAGGTCAGACTCGCTTCCTGTCTTCTGAAGGACAGAGCGAGGGATTGGTGGGAGGAGATTGGTCACGCTTTGGGGGATGATGCCGCGTTGGACGCGATGACTTGGAGTGATTTCTCAGCGAGGTTTAGAGCGGAGTTTTCGCCGATTATTGAGGTGCAGCAGTTGGCCCGGGAGTTTCAGGATTTGACGCAGACTACTGAGACTGTGGCGGAGATCACCGCCAAGTTCAGGGAGAGAGCCCTTCTTGTTCCGCAGTATGTCGCGGATGAGGAGATGAAGAAGGCACGATATCATGAGATGCTGAGGGATGACATCAGGGAGTTCGTGAGTAGGTCCGGATGTAAGACCCTGGAGGATATGATTTCTCGGGCCAGGGAGAGGGAAATTGATTTGGAGCAGATCCGGAAGAGGAAGCCGGATGAGGTTCAGGTAGCCGCGAGTTCAGGCAAAAGGCCCAAGGGAACGGATTCAAGGTCGAGGGATTATCAGGACCGCAGTCGATGCGGAAGGTGTGGCAGGACGCACGGGGGCGCGTGCAGGAGTGGTAGTGGCGGTGAGTCTGGCTGTTTCAGGTGCGGTCGGACGGGTCATTTTAGCAGAGATTGTACTGCTACCATCACCCAGGGATCAGACTTGATATGTTTTCATTGCAATCAGCGGGGCCACAAGAAGGCCCAGTGCCCTAGTTTGTTTTCAGCAGGACGGGTGATGGCACCCGCTCCTGCAACTTTGAGGATCACAGACGGCCGTCAGGGCCGTGCGGAGGCGCCTGCGGTAGGAGGCAGGGCTTTTCAGATGGCTACTTTGGAGATGCAAGCATCGCCGGACATTGCAGGTATGCGACTTCCGTTTTCAGTTCTTTTATTTTGTGCATGATTATATTGTTATGGTTCTGCATCATTAGCGGTTGAGAATTTTATTTTCGAGCGGGTTCATTGGGATCGAGTTATATGCCATTTGCATACCTTGGTTATTGGTTAGTGATTAAGGGATGAGTTGTATCGAAGAAGGTTACTTTGAGTGCAGTATCCGTAGCATGCCTTGGAGGGACTCGGTATGTCTCGCTAGTTCGGAGCCGTATAAGTTTTAAAATGGACAGGTTGGATCCTTAGCTATGGTAAGCTTGGGATTCCTCAGCGGATTGATTATGGTAGCAAGGAATGGGATTTCTTCTCACCGATCATCGAGGTGTGAGCAGGATCTTAGTGGGGGAGAATCCTCCGAGTGTATAAGGGTAAGGACACGCGAATCCAGATCGGGTATATGATTTCGGATAAGGAAAAGGGGTAGTTCAGCATTTAAAAGTTCAGGGTTGGGAGTTTGAGAACTTCCCATCAGCGCGTGCGTGTGAAGGGTAATGGTGGGTATGTGGTTCGGATTCAGGTTATAGGGCCACATGTAGAGCTCGTGTGAGTCGAAATGGGGATCTTGAGGTCAAGTAGCAGTAGATGTTTTCGTGTCAGCAGTCAGTGGTGGAAAGTGATGTAAGACTACGGGGCAGTCGTAGCATTTTGTAGTAGCTCGTTGGCGGAGTCGGGGCGAGGCCCTTATCTCCTAACATTCAGATAGGGATCGGGAATGGAAAGTGGATGAGAATGGTATGGAGTTACCTATATAGTCATGGAGGGATGAGACCTTGGAAGAGGCCTCTCCAGGATACAGTCGGGTGAGACCCGTGGGCGGGGCCCGTATGAGGATAGCAGTATAGGTGAGACCTGAGAGCCGGGTGGCTCAGTAGTACGGTTGGGTGAGACCCGTGGGTGAGGCCCGTGAGTTTTAGCAGCACAGGTAGGACCTGGTAGGATCTTAGCGTCTAGACAAGGGGATCGGGGATCCCAGGAAATTGTAGTGCTAGCATGGTGGAATAGATTGAGCAGTATATGTGGCGGAAGTATCTTCGAATGTCGCTGGGAGCGACTAGTGGTTGTGCTGGGTCAGTAATCGGTGAGAGTCGGTAATCCAGATATTGATAGGTTGGTAGGGACCAGGATGGTCTCAGTTCATTCGGAAGCCAGATAAGAATAGCAGGATTTCTAGTCAGTAGCAGTGCGGGGATGCAGAGTATGGTGGGATTCAGTTAGTCGATCGTGGGGTGCTCGACACCGAATGATAGTAGGAAGAATGCCCAGTGGTTACTGGCAACGATGACCCGTACTGGGGGTGACGGGAGTAATAAATTTGGTGAGGAAAGGGTCTTCACCGCGGCAGAAGGGATAGATGGTTATGGAGCATTGCCTTGGGGAGGCAAGGAAAGCGCGTAAGGAAAGAAAGGGTGAACCCTACGGGGTCAGTGCGGTATTTGGAAATTACCAAAAGATTGTCGGTTGAGTAAGTTGTGTTATAGGATGTTCAGGCTCGGGATGGACCCGAGATTATTATCTGTAAGGATTGATATTGGTCTGAATGACTGAACGGAAGGCCAGCAAAGTTAGGCAGCTGGTGCTAGAATGGATGGTGGGGCTTTGGAGGTTGATCGCCGACAGTAGAGTATAGTAAACTTCGAGGGCGAAGTTTAGTTTAAGTGGGGGAGAGTTGTAACACCCAAAGTTTCAAAAGCCATGAAAGGAAAGAAAAGCCCTAATTAAAGGGCCGACTCGGCGAGTCCAAGGAGGGACTCGGCGAGTCCGAGCGGGATCCGGGTCGAGGTGTAAGCGACCGACTCGGCGAGTCGGTCAAGGTGACTCGGCGAGTCTGGTCTGTGCGTGGAAAACCCTAAATTCGGGACTTGGGGCCTATATAAATGTCTTAATCTTCTTCCTAGGGTTCCTTACTGCCTCTTTAGCCCTGGATATCAAACCCTAGCCGTCATATCTCCTAGTTGAGCCTTGGAAGGTGCATTTAAGCTTGGAAAAGGAAGAAGGAACTTGGAGGAGCAAGAAGGAGCTATAGATCTGGGATTGTGAGTTCATTCTGAGCACTTGGAGGTAATAAACTAGTTCCTGGACTCTTTTTGCACCTAGATCTATGTGTGGTTGTTGGGGCTCTTTTGCCATAATGTTATTATTTTGGGTTAGAAGCCGGATCTGGAGTTGCTACTTCAGATTCAAGTGTTTTAGGGCCTGGAGGAGCATAAAGTATCAGCCATTGAGTCGATTTTGAAGTCCCTTGGCCTTACACCCTAGTTAATGGCGTATCTTGCCTAGATCTCCTTCTCTACACGTAAAGTTTGCAACTTTATGTGTGGAATAGGCTTGGGAAGGGTGGATCTATAGTTTGGAGTCCATGCATGACTCAAAAATCCTCTGCATGTAAGGAGATCTGAAGGGACTCGACGAGTCCTTTGAGTGGACTCGGCGAGTAGCATGAAGTTTTGGAGAAACTCGACGAGTGGGATGAACAACTCGTCGAGTCGTATGAAGATTGCCTTGGACTCGGCGAGTCTGTTCTTGGACTCGGCGAGTCAGGTCGCAAAACCCCAAACCCTTCGAGTTGTGACTCGAATCAGTGAGTCGGGTGGAGACTCAGTGAGTTGAACAGGTCTGGACTCAGAAATCGGTAGACTCGGCGAGTCATGGACTGACTCGGCGAGTCGAGTCGCGAATGAAAGGAATCTAATCATTTTGAACTCGGCGAGTCAGTAGGGTGACTCGGCGAGTAGGGTTGACCTGGAAGGTTGACTTTGACCAGGACTTTGACTTTGGACCAGGGTGGACTTGATTGTCTTTCGGGGGTCAGTTAGACTCAGTGTTGCATTGATATTGGTAGTTCGGGGAGCAAGGGGAGCAGGAGTTCCGTGAGTTGTCGGGAAGCAGCTAGTGAGATCATCAGCAAGTTCAGCCAGTTCAGGTGAGTTTCCCTTTGTGTGAATGGGTCTAAGGCCACAATGCCGGCCCATGTAGTTATGAGTAGAAGACCTGGGGGTTAGCCCTAGGCACAGTATGCTAGCATTGTTTGCAGTACGAGGTCCAGTAATAGCGGGCGGGCGCCCAAGGAATTGTTTATATATGATAGTTTATACTTGTTGTCTGTGTGATACATGTATGTACCTGGTAGGGAGGTGAGTGTGGGCGAGGTCCCGTATCTCACCAATAGCAGAGTGTGGATGGGGTTCCATATCTCACTAGTAGCAGATTAGGGGCGAGGCCCGAATTAGAACAGGAGTGAGAGTGGGCTAGGCCCGTACCTCACTACCATTAGGAGCATGGATGGGGTTCCATGACTCCTCAGTAGCAGGACATGGGCGAGGCCCAGGAAAGGCGAGGCCTTAGGACAGAACCAGTTGCATGTGTTAGTTATGTGTTATGAATGTTTATGTGTTATTATTTGTTGACGGGCGAGGCCCTGTGACAGGCGAGGCCTAAGTAAAACAGATCTGTATCCGAGCGGGGCTCGAAGCCAGGCGGGGCCTGGAGCGGCGGGGCCGTTGTAGCGGGCGAGGCCCGTGGTAAGGGGCGAGGCCCAAGATAGGGGGCGTGGCCCAGTATGTGCAGTATGTGGTTATGCATGGTATGTGGTAGGGTGGGGAACTCACTAAGCTTCGTGCTTACGGTTTTCAGTTTTGGTTTCAGGTACTTCCGGTAGCGGAGGGAAGAGCTCGGGGTGATCGCATGGCACACACCATAGATTAGACAGCCTGGGGATGTTTACTCTGATAACGAACATATGTTTTGAAAACTTATACTCATATTATGTTTTGGAATGATGATGTTACTTTAAGTAATGATTTATTAAAGAAATTTTTGGTCTTAAATTTTGGGTCGTTACAGTGAGGGTGTAGAAGGATTTGCAGATGAGGGGTATAGAGTTGTCAAGGATAATGATCCTCATGGAGTCAATGAATTTTCAATTAACATCAACATAGATGATGAGTTAATGACAAACTTTCAACCTTTCGAAGGGTTTGAAGACCAAGATAGCATCCCATTTAATAGGTTTGAAGGCCAAGATAATATTCCTTTCAATGATGAGTGGAGACAAGAGGAGCCTGATGACATTGAGCTTGAGAATAAAAACAGTGAAGATGAAGATAGTGACTTTAGGATTGATGAGGACAACATAATTGAGGATGTTGAGGTTGACATGGAGGATTTCAATCTAAATATTGATACAGAAGCAGAGTTTAACGGATGTCAAAGTTTGGGTGGTCAAAGAAATGAAGATAGTGATGAACAAGAGGATTTGGAGGTAATTGATAATGACGAGTGGGATTCACTAAGTGATAACTCAGGGGACAACAAGAAAAGAAGAGAAATGATCAAAGAGCTGGGGAAACAAACCTTATGTTCTGTTGGTGAGGTGCACAAGGTAGCTTTTCATATTGGGCAGAAATATAAAGCCAAGAAAGAATTGAAAGATAAAATTGACCTGCATGCTTTAGAGACACGGAGGAATATCTCATTTACAAAAAACGACAAGAGTAGATTAACAGCTATTTGTGATGGAACTGTAGTTTTAAATGCAAGTGGGGTAGGTGGACCTACCTCTGGGAAAAAGGTAAAGGGTAAAGATGTAAACTCAGATAAAGTTAAATGCACATGGAAACTTCATGCATCTAGGTCAAGTGAACATGACTATTGGTTTATTAAGACCTATAATCAGAAACACATATGCCTTCAAACACGAAAAATCAGATCTTGCACAACAACATTTCTTTCCAAACGTATTATGGATCAGATTGAAGCTAATCCTGGACTGCCTGTTCGTGCCTTACAAGAGCAACTCCAATCAACTTATGGAGTTAGTATTTCAGAAGAGAAAGCATTTAGGGCAAAAACATTAGCCACCAAAAATGTTGCAGGGGATTACGTAAAGCAATATGCAGCTTTGAGAGACTATGTACTAGAGCTACAAAAGAGAAATGAAGGTACAACTGTAAAGATTGATGTGGTTTCTGAACCTGTGGTTTCATCCCTAACCAGGCAATTCAGAAGGATATATGTGTGTTTAGGTCCTTTGAAGAAAGGATTTAAGGCAGGTTTGAGAGAATTTTTAGGCTTAGATGGAGCCTTCATGAAGGGACCTTTCCCAGGTCAAATACTAAGTGCAGTTGGTGTTGATTCCAACAATGGAACCTACCCATTGGCATATGCTGTTGTTGAAAGTGAAAACACTTCAAGTTGGAAATGGTTTCTTCAGTGTCTTGCAGAAGATCTTGAATTGTATTTAAATTCCAACTTCACCTTTATCAGTGATAGACAGAAGGTACTATAGTTACATTTAATATTGTATACTCGGTTCATTACAGACTAATGCTAATTACTTATTTTGTTTTTGGTGAAAACAGGGTCTTCTACCAGCCATAGAACAATTGTTCCCTAATGCAGAACACAGGTTCTGTATTAGACACATATACCAGAACATGAGGATCAGATTTAAGACTACAGAGTACAAGGAGTATTTTTGGAGGTGTGCTACAGCCACCACCATACCAGAGTTTGAAGTTGTAATGGTAGAGCTAAGGAATTATGACATAGAAGCATATCAGTGGATCTTGAAAATCCCTCCACATCATTGGGCTAGAAGTCATTTTTCAGGTATTTTCTCAATTTGTTGTCTTATTTTTTATTATAGTATAGATATACACTAACTGTTGTTTTGTTAATGAACTATTAGGAAGGGAAATTTCAGACATGTTATTGAATAACCTTTGTGAAGTGTTCAATAGCAAACTTGTTAAAGGGAGAGATAAACCCATTATCAACTATTTGGAGTTCATCAGAGAGTACCTTATGAAGAGAGTATGCAATGTGATGAAGGTGTTAAAGAAGTGTCAAGGTCCATTAACTCCATCTGGTACTAGGATTTTAGAAGCAAACACAACACTAGCTAGTAAGTATCATGCACGATGGAATGGGGGACAAAAGTATTAGGTTAAAGGTCCATCGAATGATCAACATGTGGTGGACATGGAAAAAGGGAGTGTAGTTGTAGTAAGTGGGAGCTTACTGGAATTCCTTGCAAGCATGCAATTGCAAGCCTAAATGAAATGACAGATAATAATGAAAATGTGGGAGAACTCTACACCTATGTGCATAAGGTGTATTGGCTTGATACATGGAAAAAGATGTACTCCTTCAAGGTGGAGCCTATCAAAGGTAGAGCCATGTGGCCTACGAGTGACTGCCCAACAATTCTTGTGCCTCCACCACACAACAAAGCTATAGGCAGGCCAAAAAAGAAAAGAAGGATTACAACAAAGGAAAGGATTCAAATCCAACAACGTAAGAGGCAAGCAAACAGTCAAAGTCAAAATGATAATGAAACTCAATCACTGAGCAGTAATTTTTTGACTGTGATACGTAGTAAGTGTAAGCAAAAAGCTCACAATGCCAGGACCTGCAAGGCCAAAGATGGGAATTGATGTTTAAGTACTTTTTATGTTTGTGAAGACTTGTTAATGCACTTTAGTTGGTACTTTGTTGCCTTTTTATGGTTCCATTTTGATAATATACCTTGATGCCCTTTTATCGAACAATGTACTCCAATGTTTTGATAATGTACTTTAATGCCATTTGTTGGTAATGATTGTGTTTTGGCATTTATCTGTTATGGTCCCCTTTTGGTAATGTTGTTTGTTATTTGTTTATGTTGTACTGGGAAATCATGAAGATGTTATGGCAATGTACTTAATGTATGCATGTAAAACCATTACAAATGCATATTCAAGCGTAGAGAAAAACCATTACACTTGCATATCATGTCAAGATCAAACCTTTATAATTTCATATTCATAAAAGGATAAAACCATTACACTTCCCATTGTCATAAAAGCATTACATATACAATGATCCAAAAGACAACACTTACAACATATATAAACCCTAATTAAACCTTCTAGCACCAAAAGACAACATTTTTAAGTGGTTATTACCAGTTGTACTGTGAAATCATGAAGATGTTATGGCAATGTACTTAATGTAGGCATGTAAAACCATTACAATTGCATATTCAAGCGTAGAGAAAAACCATTACACTTGCATATCATGTCAAGATCAAACCTTTATAATTTCATATTCATAAAAGGATAAAACCATTACACTTCCCATTATCATAAAAGCATTACATATACAATGATCCAAAAGACAACACTTACAACATATATAAACCCCAATTAAACCTTCTAGCACCAAAAGACAACATATTTAAGTGGTTATTACCAACAAAAAAACCCTAACCTCTAATTCCTATTTCCAAAATAGCACTAACAACAGAAACAAAACCCACAAGACAAGCATACACATCTTCAGCTGACCCACTTCAACCTCATACCTATTCATTGTTCTCAACAGTCCTGGTATGATAACAGTTGATCTTTGACACATAAGGGGATCGAACCACCCCAAAAATCCACATTTGGATCCCTACAAGAATACATTAAACATTAAAGTAGAAGAGTTATTGCATAACTACCAAAATATCATAACCTAATATGAGTTTGCTTACCATTTTAGGGCATGCATAAAAACGACGACCATGGTTTCGTGAGGTCCATGAGGTTCACACAACAACAACGTTCCCACAGAAGCAGAGCACCATTTTTGAATCTCGTAGCAGTAGAAGTAGATGAGAGACGAAGAAGAAGAATCCCTTTGAGAGACGAAGAAGAAGCCCTTTTTGCTGCTTCTCTGTAAATAAAAATGAAGAAGAAGAAGGGGATTGCGTATGAGTATGTATATAAAGGAGAAATATGATATTATTTAAAATAAGGACCTAAAATGACCAAAATGCCCTCACATGGAGGGCACGTGATGGCACTAACGGCTCCAAACAAACGGACAATGACGGAATGGACTAAAAACCCATGAAAACCTTGATTTTGGACCTTTGGTGCAAGCTGGAAACTTTTTGAACCCCATCTAAAGGTTTTGACAAACCACAAGGACCAAATTTGCAGTTTTGTCAAAAAACATTGAAGAAATGATGAACATATGGGTTTTTTGGTTTTATTTCACGCAGGTCTCTAATAAAGAACAAAGAACAATGTTGTTAAAAAGAAAATTAAAACTATCATAGTTTTGATTTTTTCATGCAGGGCTCCCCCCAAAAAGATGATGAACATGGTTGTTTTTTTTTTAAAAAAAAGTTGGGAATCATCTTCTAAACTCAAAATCAAGGGAGAGAGAGAGAGAGAGAGAGAGAGAGAGAGAGAGAGAGAGAGAGAGAGAGAGAGAGAGAGAGAGACTCTTTTTTTATTTTTCAATTATAAAAATTATTAATAAGTATTAAACTTTTTTTTAGAAATGAAAGAGAATGGAAAATAAATACACTAAGGGCATAACCGTCATCTTAATTTTTGTAGGGACCAAATAAACAATAAAAATAATTCAAAATGACTACTAATAAAAAAATATGATGGTTTGGACCAACAAAAAAAATACATACTATAAAACCATTTTTTATCTTTTTTGAAAGGCTTTTACACATGCGAGCTACTCTTATGAGTTGATAGAGACTCTTACAACCAAATGTACCTTTTAGATTGTACATAGTAGTAGTTGGTAGAACTCCGACAACCAAATGTACCCACTTCATCTTTCTACCTCTTCTATTTCTTCATTGTTGGTTCATCATCAACCAATGGTAATTATATTTATATTTTGAATAATTATTCTTTCTTTAAAAAAAAAAACAAAAAAATTGGAAACCCTTTACTTTAACATGAAAACCCACTTATTAAAGAGTAGGAAAAACCGTAAGACGTTTGTTAGGATTATCCTTATCCCATGATGTCCAAATTCAAAAAGGAAAGATATCCCCATATATAATGTCAAGATTTACAACATCAAGTTTTATACTTGTGAAAGTTTTGCCATAATGTCTTTATTCTTATTGGAAAAAAGAACATCATGCTGCGTAGATCTCCACCTCAACATATAATTTGCCATCTCAGGAAAAAAGAAATGGCAAATCATCCGCAAAGCTATCATTAATTGTATTTTTTGTATATGAAAAAAAAAAAAAATTCTTAACACATGTACTTGATGTACACCAAAAAAAAAAAAAAAAACTGATAATATGTGTGTAAATCAAATTAATGATATTTTTGTATACGTATCAAAGATTATTACCGTTCCAAATGTTATTAAAAGAAGGTTTTATTTTTGGGCAAAACCAAAATAAAATCTACAAAAATGGTAAAAGACATTTTAAAAACTAAAAAGTAAAGTATTTATGAATTTATTACATCATTTGGGGATCTTGGTAGTTGATACCAACAAGGAGTGCTCGTAGCAAAAATGGTACCTCCATTCGTCTTTCCTTTGGATTCTTGTACAAGCATCTCTCTCTCTCTCTCTCTCTCTCTCTCTCTCTCTCTCTCTCTCCTGATTTATAATATTCAGATTAAATTGTACCCGATCTCTGCACAAAACTGCATAGTCAATAAATTATAGACTTAGAAATTGAAAGTATTTTATCCGGATCTTGTTTTTTTAAAGTTTTATATGGAAATGGCTTCAATTTCTTCTAGCCCTCGTACAGTTGAAGAGATCTTCAGAGATTACAGCGGTCGTCGTGCAGGCATAGTTCGTGCTTTGACTTATGGTAATTCAAACCCTAATTCATCACCCGATTAATTTCCCCCTTCTTCTTTTTCTTCACGTTACTGACTTTTTTTTGTTCCAATTTAATCTGTGCAGATGTTGATGAATTTTATGGAATTTGTGACCCAGGTAACTTCCACTTTCACTAGTTATCTCCTAAACTCAGATCGGTTCAAATCGAGTTTTCAAAATGCCTTACATTACAAGACATAAATTAATTAGGGTTTTGTTTGAATTCATAGACCAGTTTTCTAATTTGTAATGATGATTGTTGAAGTTGATAAAATCTCCAAACAATCTCGATAGTTCATCGCATTTTTTTTGTGAGTTTTTGCTAAACAGAAGAAAAACTCCATGCATCGATAAAACAGCTCCAATCGGAACTGAACCATGATTAATGCAAGATCAAAACTCTAACCAAAAACACCGTCGACTAAACTTCGCATACAAAAACACCATTAGAATTAGATGCTGGACTCTTTTTGAAGCAATTGATGTATATTCATTCATGGATTGGTATTGTTTTGATTTGAGTAGAAAAAGAGAACCTGTGTCTATATGGACATCCAAACGAAAGCTGGGAAGTGACTCTTCCTGCAGAAGAAGTTCCTCCTGAGCTTCCTGAACCTGCGCTTGGAATAAACTTTGCAAGAGATGGAATGAATCGCAAAGACTGGTTGTCACTTGTTGCTGTTCACAGTGATTGCTGGTTGCTCTCTGTTGCTTTCTATCTTGGAGCTCGCCTGAATCGCAATGAAAGGTCCTTCCTTTTTTCATTTTATAAAATCTCTTCATTATTTATCTCATCTTCAATTCTTCATCTAGAATCACAACTTCCTAAAACTTTGTTCAACAGGAAGCGTCTGTTTAGCATGATTAACGAGATGCCAACTGTGTTTGAAGTCGTATCAGAAAGGAAACCCATAAAAGACAAACCAACTGCAGCTGAAAGTGGAAGCAAAGCAAAAGCCAGCACAAAGGTCAGTTTACTTAAAAAAAAAAAAAATTAATTTTTGGAATCCAAGGGTAAAATGGTCATTTAGTCTCGTTCATATCATACGGTTTATTTGCAGAGATCAAGTGATGGACAGGTGAAAA